ACAGGGGGGACACGGACCACTGATGGAGGGGGAAATCAGAAGGTTGGTGAAGCAGCTATATTGGTCTCGGTGAGCAGTTTTTCTGTCATGTGGTAGTAGAAGGGTGCTGAGGGAGGTCTTACCCTGTACTGAGGAAATGTTTCTGCAGAAACAAAATGTTTTACCTTTGAATTTATAGAACTAATTGAGGAATTATAGTAAATAATTTCATCACAACTATCAAAAATATATGAAAAAATACAATGAATATTTTGCAGAATAGTAATGGATATTGCCTTACCAAGATTTCTAACTTGAAAAGGGTGGTTAATTTAGTCATTTGCAAATAGTGGACCAATAAATGTAAACATACATCTGCTTTGCTTTAGCATTATGAGGACACCTTTCATTCACCACCAAGTCTAATGCTGCTGCTGCTGCTCTTCTCATAGGTTAATGTCCCTGGAAAACCTGCAACACTTTTCTTATCAAATCAAGATCAGAATTTGTAATGTGAGCTCACAGGGTCTAACATCTCAGCTTTATTCTTAGGACATGCAGACATCTCACCTCTGATGCTACTTCACCTCAGGACGTGTAGTACACTACAGAGGTGATGGATCTACATCTCTAAAATGGACAGTCCTCCACCTAAATGGCAGTTATCAGCTGGGTGATAAAGTTTGGTATCTGCCACTCACCCCGACTCTGTGATGGGCTCCATGACGCCTCATCCAATCTACAGCCAGATGATACAGGGTGGCACCGGCATGGACTCTGATAGAGACACAAACTCGTTTTGTGTGTGTGCGATAAGAGAGAGAGAGCAAGGCAGATATACAGTATGACAAAGACAGTGATAGTGCGTGTGTCTAATGTTCCCTTGATTCAGACTGACGTAAATGGAGACAGAAGGTATACTCTGTTGGAACAACAGCCTTGATAAACCGGTGTCATTGTTAAGCACCCAGGCAAAAATAAACATTCACAACAGATGGAAAACTTCGTCTTTGATGGCTTCATTTGTTGGTTGGAAATAAATCTCTTTTATCTCCATAGTATGTAAAAATTACAAAAAGAGGAGACTTTTGAGAGCAAATATATGATAAGAAAACCTGACCTTGGAAAACACAGTTTGAAGATATACATGTGCAGCCTTGGACTTCACCTTGGGCTGTAAACATAAACACACATTGTAAATATTGCAGAGAAAATATCCAACCCTCAGCAATATTTTTTACACTTAATTTATACATTTTCCTAAAACTACACATAAAGTTAATACTACATTTGTTTTGTTTTTTACTCCATGTGTTGTTATCAGCTAAGTTTAATGTGCTTCCCTGTCTTTTAATCTGAATAATTTTTATGTTCATCTTGAGACAATGCAGGTTATATAAGAGAAGATTTAGCTTAAAATGTGCTTGGAGTGTGTTGTCTCACAGATTTGAGTACTCGGTCACATGGCTCAGAGGCATTTTAGGTAGCAGTATGCACAGTTAGTAACACGGCAGCAAGCTTATTCTTAGTCGTGAAATTAAACGTACAACATATGGATCTAAAACAGAGAACCCAGAATCATGGAATGAATGCACAATACTGACAAGAATAAAATACTATAACAACCCTAAGTAGATGTTGCCGTATAATGTATCCCCTGTCTATTTGCATGAGTGTTTGCAGCCACATGCAGGGGAACACTCCTCACCATGGCAAACAAGAATTTGGCTGACAAGAACCATGAAAAGGCATGGAAAGTGGCTTGAAATGCAGAATGGGAACTTGATGTAATAGCTCTATGTGTGGCTGTATTCTCTCCCCCCTCCCCATCACTAACATCCAAATGAAGGTCTGCTAAGTCAGCTCTGGTCCAGCATGCTGCTGCTGCTCCGCAGCTCAGCCTCCCAGTGTGTGTGTGCTGCACAAAAAGATAGGACTCTCAAAGGGTCGCCACAAGGCTGGACAATTCAAAAGCTCCCATTTCTGCTCGCTCCTCTCCCTCTATCTCACTTTTTCTAATGGAAAAAAAACAACCTGGCTCACACATCAGAACATGCTGTAACATTGATAAAATTACTTATTACTCCTTGCAGCACACTTTTCTCTCTCCCTGGATTCATGAAACTCCTTACCACCCCTCAAAATGGCTGGTATCTCATGGCGCTTGTCTAGCCTGTCACCCTTCCTCTGCAGTGACCTTGAGACATAGATGAAGGAGGGACGGTGTTCCTATAACTGCTGTAACACATTTCTTCTCTCCCCCATATAGGAAAAAATACAGAGCAGCATAGATGGCTCTCACTTACACTGACAGCTGAAGGAGGGGGTAGAAAAAGCCTCTGCATATCCACATCAATCAAAACAGGATTAGGGTGCCTCTCTCTGGTCCTTTTTATTTCCCATTAACTTGAAGTTGCTGATGAAATATGGAGCTTTTTAAAAGAAACTGGGAATGCATAGCATCAATGTGTCTTTCACTTTCTTGAGTAATTATGTTAAATTAAAAACAAGCTTAACAAAATCAGAATTATTCCCAAATAACAAGCTAGCTATATAATAAATCATTGCCATTTACAAGTTTTGAAAAATGTGACTGTAGTCCCCGCTCTCATCCCCTTTCTAATAAATAATTTAAAAGTATTGGCAACATCTTCAGTATAATCTGAGTTTAGAGGCTGTATTCTGACACATGCTGAATTGCCATTGTCAATGACAAAGAGGGGAAGCGTCTCTCTGACAGCAATATAAACAGATGAAATGACATGACAATGTGTGAAACAAAACTGTCTGCTGTGATCAACCACCTTCACATGCAAAGTGATCCGCCACCCTCCAAGGAAACTGCTGTGACCGGTCACGTGACTCATTTGATGCCATTCTTCCATGCCCTGTTGGAAAAGAGATGCAGACCAGAGATGATGCATGAATTCTTAATCAAATAAAGACAGTGAGAAGTGATAGGAGTGGAAGGCAATTGTCCTGGCCATGCTGAATTAATGAAGCGCTGGCTTCCTTCCGCATGCCAAGATTCTGAATGACTCTGCTCATCACTGTTCTCTTGAGCCATCTCATCTTGAGCCATCTTGACCATCCGCCTCTATCCCCGGGCCGGATTCAGAAACTAAGCATTCAAAAACTCTACCATGTGATACCCATTCTTCTGCCGCTCTCAGTAAAACGGAAAGACGGATCACTTTAGCCCACAGGCTGATTCTCCTCATGACCTTGAGCTCATGCAAGGGAGGGGTTGCATTCTGCAGGAAATTTGGGTTCTGAGTCTGTCCTGAATAGTAGGAATCCATAGTTCATCTGAGGATGTGGAAGTTGCGGTCCCAGTGCACGTCTGTCATGCAATCCTGTCCTAGTCCTGTCCAGAAAACACTCCTCTGTCCACCTGAGCCACCGCTCCATGTGCCTGTCTGCTGGCAGCTCAGAGCCAATGCATTGCTTCACACCAATTCAAAATCTAGTTGCACTTTTGTCCTGTCAGGTTACAGCTCCTCCTTCACACCTAAACTTTTTTTCTTAACACCTGTGATAATGTCACTGTGTATCTGTGTCCTTGTACCATTTCGAACAAAAAAAGTAGAGAAAGAGAGAAAAATAAAGTCTCAATAACCGAAGGTGGAGTTGGGCATTCCCATGGCAACCAGGTCCTGTGGTATAGACAGGGATATCAGGCCAAGCCCATGCCATTTGCATACAAATTGCCCAGCTGGCACCTTGTTGTTATGACAACGGCACACAGCTCCCAGAATTCATTTGGAAGTGAAATACAAAAGGAAAGCCAGTGAGGAGAGTCACTGATGATTTTTTTTGTCCCTCATAATGAAGACGTTGCTGACACTGAAACTATGTTCTCATGTAAATCCAATCACCATTTAGTACCTGCAGGAAATGAGAAAAACCAAATACTTTAACAGATAATGACTGAATGTAGTTCACATTGAATGCAATATTTAATGGGTATCTATCTACACCATGTTATATCACAGAAAATTGCCTTGAAAAAATGAACTCTTAGTGAAATATTGTCAAAGTAATAAACTATCCACACCAAAAAAATACTTTTTTCCCCTTTCCAAATAGATCAACAAATTCTACATGACTCATGGCAGATACTTTCCAAAAGTGCATGTGTCTTCTTCTTGGCTCACCTATTTCTGCAAACATTTATATAATGAATAAGCCATGAGCCATGCCAAATCCTCAGAGCTTGAGAGGGAGAGAGTAAACTCCGCTGACAACACAGTGTCCTCTACTGGCAGTGTGCTGCAGGAAGTTTACACACCCGCCTGTCTGGCTAAACGGATAATATTTAGCTCAAGGGCAACAGAGCTGATGCTTTTCCATAGTCATCCTGGCTCAGCTTACTGGCCGGTTAAATTGCACTGCCGTGGGCTTCATGAGCATTTGGTGAACCCAGCAGATCTATTTACCCCCAACAACCCCCACCAGGCTGTGGTTTAATCATTGACCTCTGTGGGGCTGTCAAACCATTGAAGGCTAATCAGTGCCTCCCTCAGTGGGAAACAAAGCAGCTTCAGGACCCAATACTTGACTTTTGTAGTATGGGAGAGTGCTGATCTCAGGGCAATGTAAGCTCCCTGCCTTGTACACATTCAACTGTGCACTTTTCCTTCTTAGCGGTTAATATTAAGAGCCCCAATGATGCTCTTGTTACCGAATGTTAGAGACAACTGGTGCAAACCACTTCAACCTAGGTTGAAAGACCTGTGTCAGCAACAGCACAACAACAGGGCCCTGTGTGTGTGTATGTGTTTATTTGTGTGTTGTAACCTACCTCAGGGTTACAGCAGAAGGAAGGTGACACATCCTGCCTCCCCAGCATATAAATGCAGGAGCCTTCTCACTAAACTGCTGCTGGCTCTGAGGCATAGCAGGTAAGTGTGCTTCTTCCTCGTGAACGTGCAACCTTTCCCAAGGTCATATCTTGCCAGCAGCTCAGATCTTTACTAAAGCACCACCCTGCTCATTTGTCACTTACAATCCAATTCAACATGGCAACCCGTTGGGGACTGTGCGGTGCGGGGAAGATCAGCCATGACTTCAGTGTGGCTCTGAAGACTCTGCCGCCTGAAGATCACCAGGTACTTTATACACACACACTTACTCCATCTTTATTGTCAGTCAGATTGTCTCCCTTGCTCTGAACACAGCTACTGACAGAGCAACACTGCAATATATCAGTCTTTTTTTCTGTTTCCTATAGATAGTAGTCATTACATCGAGGAGCTTGGAGCGTTCCAAAGAGTTTGCCAAGAAGCACGGTATTCCTAAGGCTTATGGCAGTTATGAGGAGTTGGCCAACGACCCAGATATTGGTGGGTTGAGCACTACGGCAGCCATAATGGATGTTTGTTCCCCTTTGAAGCTGAGCCTTGAATATGTGTGTCCTAACAGATATTGTGTACGTGGGAGTGCTGCACACAGAGCACTGGAAGGTTGGTCAGCTGTTCCTCAATGCTGGGAAGAATGTCTTGTGTGAAAAACCTTTCGCAATGAACTCAAATCAGGTGAAGGATCTCGTTGCCTCAGCAAAGAAAAACAATGTCTTCCTCATGGAGGTAAGGTTGAAGTGTAACACTGATGTAGACCTTTGCATTTGGGCGCAGATGAGTTTAGGTTTTAATGCAAGTACAGGTTTAGGTTTAAAATGAAAACAACTAAATTATGTGTGTGTGTGTGTGTGTGTGTGTGTGTGTGTGTGTGTGTGTGTGTGTGTGTGTGTGTGTGTGTGTGTGTGTGTGTGTGTGTGTGTGTGTGTGTGTGTGTGTGTGTGTGTGTGTGTGTAGGTGCAAACCTAGTTCTGGCAAGAAAATCTGCCCACCAGTACCTTTAATATTCAATATTTCACCTAGCTTTTTTCTAATTAATTTTTGTAACTTCATATACATATTGTCTGCTTGTTTGCTCTCTGCCTGTTACTTTAATTGTCTCTCTGCTTTTATTTTCTGTTGTAAAGCACTTTGTTACTTGTATAGAAAAGTGCTATACAAATAAAGTATTATTATTATATTGGTGATGAAAAAACCCACGGAAGTAGGCTAACTGCTGCCAGCCAAGTCAGCTTCAAAATCTTGAAGATTTATTAATGTTAACATGTGATTTCACTTCTGCCATAACCTTCTAAAAGCTAGGCAATGCCATTGGTGGTTGTAGCCTAGATTAAAAACAATCCTACCAAGCCGCATCTTTTGGTAAAAAGTTGTATTTTAGTGCTTGTAATGAGGGCATTTATAGCACATGGGAGTCATGTGGGAAGAAAATCCTTGATTGTCCTGGGAATATGTATGTAGATGAAAACATCTTGTCGTGTCATGTTTTACCAGCACATTTGCCGACACAATCCTGGGAGGTTGGGAAAGTAAAGAGCTGGGGTTAATAAACTGTGGCTCAGGTGAAGTTTCAGTAAAAATGGTTTAATGTTGCAGTGGTTCTAAGCTGTCTGTTCTGTCTCTCCCAGGCCATCTGGTCCCGCTGTTTCCCCCTGCATGGTGAGGTGCGCAGACTACTGGTGGAGGAGGCAGTAGGGGAAGTGAAGCTGGTAAAGGCATACTTTGGCTCCCCTCAGCTCCACATCCCCCGCTCGGTGCACAAGGAGCTGGGCGGTGGCGGGCTCCTGGATATAGGAGTGTACTGCCTGCAGTTTGTGCTGATGGTGTTCAATGGGGAGAGGCCAGAGTCCATCCAGGCCACAGGGGTTCTGCTTGACTCAGGTAGAATTCCGCACGAGGGTCATGCAGCAGAAGTGGGATGTCGATTAGAATCATTAACCACACTGCATGACTCAGTTATCACAAACCGGCTATTGAAACTGCTCAACAAAACACAAGAAAATAAAAGCACTCAGTGAGACTAAGAAAATCATCTTTTTATGAACTTTCCAAAATGCAAACACCTTAGGGGAAGAATTCTTTGCAGAGAAAATCCTAGACTTATCTTTAAAATGTCAGACTAATCCAAATCCTCCCCCGAGAATACAGTAATACAGTAAAACTGGCAGGGGAATTTGTAACTGCATGTCTCACAGCAAGATATCCTTCAATGTAAGACCATCACACTAGGCATGTAATGAGCATTTCTTATCTCTAACCTACCTTTTTGCAGAATATTTGACAATTTAATAGTGTATTGATACGAGCTTCTTCCCCCTTTTTTTTAATCAAAAATTCATGACAGTAAAGCAGAGCAGAATTGAACTGATTTGACCTAATTGAAGTGTGCTGATCAAAAATGCATTGAAATGACCTAAAGTGATCTGAACTGAATGGAGACTGAAAGGAAATTTAACTGATATCCACTGCAATATTCCAAGTATTCTTTTCCATGTTACAATTATTGATTTTTCCAAATGTCTGGCAGGGGTAGATGAGTCCTTGGTTGTGGTGATGAAGTTCTCCAGGAACAGGATCGCCTTCTGCGCCTGCTCAATCTCCGCTCGGCTTTCAAACGATGCTGTCATCAGTGGCACCAAGGGCTCCATTAAAGTATGCTATGCTGGTCTTGTACTGGGAACATTTGGATTAATTAAGAAATGATTGCGACATGCAAAAACTGAGCTGACTACTAATTACTTTCACATTTAATTAAACTTCAGTATTCAGACATCCATACCCACTGCTTCTAATAACTTAAGGGTTAATTGATTGGATGAACGCAGAGATGCATTCCCTTTTGGACCTCCAGGTTGTTGGCCCAATGCATTGCCCCAAAAAACTTGTGGTCAACGACAAGGAGACGGAGTATCCTCTGCCTGAACCCTGCCTCCCCCTGAATTTCACCAACAGCACCGGGCTTCGCTACGAGGCAGAGGAAGTGAGGCAGTGTCTGCTTAAAGGTAGGTCATGATAAAAGGAAAGTTGTGTATTGGGCTTCAAAGAAATGGAATTGTTTGAACAACCAACATTTCAAAGGTAAGGTTAAATACAGACCATGCAATTCAATGAAATTCCGCTTTCATTAGGCCTTTTCTTAGAATTTCTAATCAAACTAGATTGAATTTTTCAGATTGGTAATTAGTCCTCGAAATGTCCTCTAGCATACAGAATACTTCCATTGTTTTACCTCCTATATTTCTTAACATAATCTTTACAATCCCTGCTTTGACATCGTGTATACATATATTATTTAACTGCCTACAAACTGACTTTCTAATGGCCTGATTTTCCTGGTAAACTCCTCTTCATGTTTAGGACTTAAGGAGAGCCCACGGATGCCTCTGCCAGAATCCGTCTTACTGACAGAGATCATGGATGAAATCAGGAAGCAGGTGGGAGTTGCCTTTAGCCAGGACAGCCAGTGACATCATTCCAAAGCTAGTCTGTTTCACCTGACCTAAACCCACTCAGACGGAGCGGACGGAGCAGCTCCAGGCAGGCTTTAGTTCTTTGTCAAGAGAAGATCACGCAAAACATTGACAAAGAGTGACAGGACAAAATATAATGAAAATTACATAAAGATACAATCAGCATTTAAATGTAAATCTTGGGAACATCTATTGTTTGTTTTCAATAAACCTTTTTGCATTGTATAGGCCAGTGAGAGCTTTTATACCACCGATCCATTATGTGTTAGGTGGGGGTTATTTCTGTATGAGATGGACAATGATGAAATCGTGAAACAGACTGTGGATCATCTCAGATTTATTCAGCCATGGTCAGACAACACAGAAACACAACACACATGGCTGACAAAGTGCAGACCATCGCTGACCCATGCTGACCAAGATCACACAATCATTGACAATCATTGACAAAGTGGCCATCATGGGCAAAATGGCAAAATGGCAAAATGGCCAAGTGGCCAAGTGGCTAAGTGGCAAAGTCTTCATCACACAGTGTGGCTTACATTTTGCTAGAAGGTACAGCCCACAAATTCCTTTCCATTTGGGTACATCACTATAAAACAATAACGATGACATGACACTGATTTGTATACGTAACAGATGTAGACTCTTTGTCTAGCAAACAGTTGCTGACAACATATAGTTGGCTCCTATCCAAACATGGATCTGCTACTACTTAGGTGCTTCACCCATATAAGGTTACAGCTTCACAGACCCAAAAGCAGAATTACTGTGAGATGGTTGACACAATTTAAAGATATGTCCACAAAATTATCAAGATGAATGAATCCATGAAAATACGTACTAACAGCATGAAAACACCTAGGTCTGTACAATACAATGCATGACAAAAGGATTTGGTAACAAACATGTCTTCAACCAGATAATCCCACTGTAAACAAATTGAACAACCATGTATTGTGTGACCCTCCTGTCATCTTGTCCTGGATCTAAACCCAGTTGTCACTGGGAGGTCTGTGATTGATGAATCCAATAAAGGACTGATTTTGAAAGCCTTGTTTCATTTCAAATATTACCCTCTGCAAAAACAGGAGACCTGGAATGGCACATTTGAATCAGTGTTCTGTCATGTTGGACCCCAGCAGCCGTGCAAATATACTGTAGATGCATTCTCCCTATACAAAAATAAGTTGCACGGTCTGCTCTTCATGGTCCGGACAGAGAAAGGCCTTTATGAGTCAGCAAAGAGCACGGCTCATTTAATAACTGTTCTCAACCTTTTGGGCTCAGAGGACTCCAAAAACAGGAGTCTCGTTTGACTCAATCTGTTAGATGCAAAATTGATGCGATATCATTTCCCCCACTATTTTGCTTGTAAATGAATAATCTCAGATTGCTGTAGATATATTTATGTATTAAGGAAGGAGTTAAGCTCTTTTTTCTCTTTGCAGCAACTTTGCAATATGGTATTAAGATGAGGAATTAAAAATGGACCAGAAAGTCTCAAGAAATACAATGAGATTTAAACAAAAATATTTTTTTAGAGGCCTGATTTGTGGCTGACCACCATCTGACACTCCAGGTGACTACATGAAAAAAGACTATCAAGAGAAATGTAATTTATTCATTGGAAAGATAAAATATCTTTAAAAACTCCTATTATTTCCTTCTTTTTTTTCAATCTATAATAATAGATAAAAATGGGATAAAGACTTTATTCATACCATGAAATTCATGTGTAAATCTAGCTCAGAACAACTCACAAAATAATTCAAATGTAAAACAAATAAAATATAGTGTCTAGTCTGATATCTGATACAAAAATGATCATTTCAGACTAACAAATTATAAATACTAGGTTAGAAAATGGTCTATCTGAAATTAAAAAAACAGCTACAAAAATACAAATTAAATTAAAATAAATAAAATGTCATTCTGGGTTTCTGAGAGTTTCTGAGGTAACCTGCAAAAAAGAAAGAAAACATGTCGTTCTTGTGTTTCCTTTTAATCTATATAAAGGTCATGCTTTTGTTCTGCGAGCATGAATCGTCATCACTGTCAAGTTATTTTTGTGCTACGTCACACAGCTAAAACTAATACTCTGTCTCCATCTTGCGGCAGAGACGCAGTATTGATTTTGAACGCACTGATCACCTCTGTCACTAGATCAGGATTCAGGCAGATTGCTGTCCAATATGGCAACCAGGTGGGGAATCTGTAGCGCGGGGAAGATCAGCCATGACTTCACTGTGGCCCTGAAAACTCTTCCTCCTGAAGACCATCAGGTAATAGATAAGTTGCCTTGCCACAGGTTCATACAGTGTTTCCAATGCATGAGTAGCCTACAGCGAGACTTCTTTGCTCCGTGCAGACTGTATCTGACAATCCAAAGTTAAATATGTTTAAATCTGGTCATTCTGCAGCTTAATTTAGCTAAACGCTCCTGAAACCATCCGTCAGGGACATTATAAGCAAGTACAAGACGTGTTAAAGTTAGTAACACTTATAGGGCGTCAACCATGACCGACTTCATTCGTTTACCGTAAAGCATCTAATAAATGGGAGTTTCCAACTCTTCTTCCCATTAAGGTACGTGTATGGCATGACTGATTACATGTGGAAAACAGAATCAAATTCATCCTAGAATATGATTATGTTCAATTCCAATCAAAACTTAAAAATGCAGAACAAAAGGCTTAAGATTTACCGCTGCGTAACTGTAAGATAGCTCCAATTAAATAACACTTCTTTTCAGTTTTCATCATGTAGGTAACTTTCAGCTTTGAAAAAGAAAGTTTGTGCCAAATACTGCAATTCATAGAATGGCCATTTGAGGCTAGATTTTAAAGTGAGACAATTCCAGTAAAGGTTTTCTATTAAACTCGACTTAACTGCAAATTTAAAATTGTTTCTAGCCAGGTAATCACTTCCCTTTTTCATGGCAACTGCCAAGGCCAAATATTGTATAACTCACCTGTTTAAGTTATAGTATTGCTTAGAGTTATGCATAACTGTGGATGCAGCCTCTTTAAGTTATACATGGGATATTGCTGTCCTTGTAGGTGCCATCCAAGGTGATTCAAGCCTCGGCAAGTAACCTAGCAAACCTGTTTGGAGTGTTAAAGTTAGTAGCATTTATAATGCGTTAACCATGACTGACTTTATTCTTTTACAGTAAAGTATCTAATAAATTGGTATCAAACATAGTTTACGACTCTTCTTTCCATTAAGGTACGTGTGTGGCATAAATGATTACATGTGGAAAACAGAATCAAAACCAGTCTCCAATTTATACTATATTTAATTCAAATCCAACCTTAAAAAGTTAGAACAAAAGACTTAAGATTTTACTGCTGCCTGCGTAACTGAAGCTCCAATTAAATAGCAGGTTATCATACAGGTTTGGAGTTGGGCAGAAAATATGTTGCATCTCCAAATTGGTGCTATTGGGAGGAAAAAAACATCCTCAGGCGGCATTTACACCAGCCTTTAGACAGGATTACAGATTGCAACACGTATTTTCTTTTCATTTAGGGCCTTTCTTTCAGGTGAAGCAGGAGCATTGTGTTGCAATAAATAATGTGTTTTAGCTGTTTTTTTAACAGGTTGTGGCTGTGGCAGCTCGTAAGTTGGAGGATGCTCAGGAATTTGCCAAAAAGCACAGCATCCCAAAGGTATATGGCAGCTATGAGGAGCTGGCCAGAGATCCAGATGTAGGTGAGAGTTTGTTGATTTGTTGATGCATCTTTGGATCCTTCAGCTAAATTACTTTAAGCATCAAATTAAACATATTTTCTGCCTCAAACATTTCGGTCAGGTATAAACTTTACAACAAAAGACAGCTGTCATAAATCTCCAGTTCAAACTACAAGTATTTTTCCTGTGTATATTTTACTGCAACTATAATTTTGACTTACAGAAAATTCTGTTTTTGATTTGTTTTTGTGTGAGCCCAGATGTGGTGTACATTGGAGTTATCCACCCCTGTCATCTGAAGACATGTCTTCTCTATACAAACGCCAAGAAAAACGTCCTATGTGAGAAGCCACTGGCCATGAACACAAAGGAGGTGAAGGAGATCCTGGCCTCTGCCAAACTCAATGATGTCTTCTTCATGGAAGTATGGCCATAGAAGAAAAAAAGAAAATAACATTTTTAATACAGCCCAACTTTCTCCTTCACTCACTTTAATTACATTTGCTTTCTGAAATGACTCCATGTCTGTGTGCTAGGCTGTCTGGACCCGATTCTTCCCGGCCTCAGTGGAGATAAGACGGCTACTGGCACAAGGGGAGGTGGGGGACGTGAAGATGGTGAGATCTGAATTTGGCTGGCCAGTGTTGCACGTACCGAGATCAACGCAGAAGGAGCTGGGTGCAGGAGCAATGCTGGATCTTGGCGTCTACTGCCTGCAGTTCATCTGCATGGTGTTCAACGGAGAGAAGCCAGAGTGCATCCAGGCCATGGGGGTGTGCCAGGAGACTGGTAAAGTAAAAGTGACCAGTATGGTCTCATGGATATGATAAGTGATACTCTGTCATTTGAAGATGTAGATTAATGCCAAAGAAGTGTATGTGATTAAAGTTTACAAGAATTATAGCTAAACACAGGTAAAAAAAAACACAGTGGAAAGACCTGACTCAAAATTTTCTTTTGCTGAGGACATTCATGTGCCACTACAAGTATCATTAATGTCGCATCTTTTTAAAGCATGTGACAGAATGAATGTTTTTGTATTTATGTTTTTATCTTTAATAGTTTAAATGTGAATTGAAATGTGTATTTATTAATTATTTGTAATATGTTGCAGGAGCGGATGAGACTGTTATTGTTACGCTGAAGTTCTCCAGGAACAGGATGGCAGTGTTTACTTGTTCTTCTGGTATGAAGCTGGTCAATGATGCCGTTATTGTGGGCACAAATGGCATCATCAGGGTAGGTCATCACAGCAAAGTCACATGATCAAATGCAATTCAAATAGTTTAAATGTAGATCCATCTGCATTAGTATGTAGTAACACAAGTAAGGAGTATTATTTTACTGCACACATTAATAGGTACATCTAGTGATTTTATTTCTGCTGTTATTGTTGTGAAAAAAGCTTGTTGCATGCTTTTCTAGGTCCCTGAACATATGTGGTGCCCCACATCCTTAGTGGTGAATGGGGAGGAAACTCAGTATCCTGTGCCAGAACCCTATTTGCCTCTCAACTTCATCAACAGTACAGGGATGCGTTATGAAGCAGAGGAGGTTCGACAGTGTTTGCTTAAAGGTACTGTGACATTAAGCATGTTTTAGTCTGTACTATACTACTTGTACTGTCAAGACTGATGTTACCATTTGTCAAGTTCACACAGTGTTAGGGCATCATAGGGGTCTTTGCTGTTGCCTCTGTCTTGAAACAACCTTTGACTTTCTCATTACTCTGACGGGCTATCACAAGGGTTCTGATAGTTGCTTACAAGAAATGAAAAGGTAGATTACATAAAACTATTAAATACTTGGTTGTTGAAAAAAATCTTTTACTAAGAGTAATTGCTCAATAACGTTGAGGTTCAGAGATGCTACGCCCCTTAAGAGAAAAATCTGTAGGTTATTAAAAGGCAGTGGTTTTTGAACATTTGCCATTTTTTTGACTTGTAATGGAAAACTCAACACCAGGTGGCATCAGAGATACTGAAATCTTACAGGCCCTCGACCATGTTCCTACATGCACTGACACGATTTCATTTTCACATGTAGGGCTGAAGCAGAGTGCAGTTATCTCCCATGCAGACTCTCTGCTGCTGGCTGAGGTAGAGGACGAGATCCGCCGGCAGGTGGGGGTGACTTACAGCCAGGACTGCCAGTAGATGAATATAAAGATAAAAGAAAAATCATCAATAGTCTCAACAAAGTGAGGGAATGTTGTGAGCACAAAAGCAGTATATGTTTGAGACTTTCTTCATTTGACAAAGTGCTTCCATGTTGTAAACATGGAAAGACACTTAAATAGTTAAACCTTTCAATCACTAATAAAATGTTTTATTACACGTGTTTTCCTTCATTTGATTCTTGAATTTAAATGCACACTTCATCTAAGGTGACTGCAGTACCGCACAGGCACTGTGAATCATTCACATCAGTCAATTAGAAACATACATTGTTCATATAACCGCTAACTTAGATATGATCCAAATGCAAATAAACACAGGCTTGCCACAGGTTCATTGAGTGTTTCAAATGCATGTTTACAGTGAGACTTCTTTGCTCCGTGCATACTGTATGAATTTGCTAATCCTGACAATCCAAAGTTAAATTGTCACGGATTAAAACAGGGAACAGGAGGACCAAAGTGCAGAATAAAGGAAAACTATTTTATTTTTGAACAAAAGCTTACTTTAAAACAAATCCAAAATGTCCAACTAAAAAAAAGCATAAAGGGTAAAGAACACAGGTAGCCACGAGGAATCACTAGGAAGACTGACCCTGACATCCAACATACATCAACTGTCCTGGCTATGTGCCCTGGAGGCAGGGTTCATTGCCAGGACAGTTCAGGAGGACAGCCAGGAGGCCGACTAAACAAGGAGAACAGTTCTGGTGGGCGGCCAGGAGGCTGACCTAACACGGAGAGCAGATCAGGAGGCGGCCTGAAGGCCGACCAGACAACGACACTGGACCAGTGAGAGGCCGGGCCTCCCATGGACACACAGCAGTGTGCGGAGTCAGCAGAACCTCCGACAAAGGAGCAGGAGTCAGCAGGACCTCAGACGAGGGCACAGGAGTCATCAGGACCTCCGACGAGGGCCTAGGAGTAGGCAGAACCTCTGAAGAAGGAGCAGGAGTTGCTGGAACTCCGACAGGGAAGCAGGAGTCTGTGGAGTCAGCAGCGCCTCCCACGGAATCACGGGTGGGCTGGACCTTCCACAGGGACACAGGAACCGGCCGGACCGCCGAGGGGGAACCAGGAGTCGGCCAGACCGCCAAGGGGTCTCGCTGGCGTCACAGCCAGGTGCTCAAGGTAGTTGCGGAAACGGTCACCACAGCCATTCAGTCCAGTCAACAGCACCCCAGGAAGAAAACCATCCCTTTCCTTAAGGCTGGAGAGAAACCCCCTTCCTGACCTCAGAAAAGACCATGTCGACTGTCCACAGCCATCAGACTGGCAGCTGAGAGTTGATCTTGGAAAACAACTCAAGTTTCCTTCTCACATCACGCAGGGAGCTGGTGGAGCAGAGTACAGAGCGAAGCTGGCGGTCTCTTTGTGAGCTGATTGAAGTGGACTGTCGGGGGTGTGCTGGGCGTTCTATCTGCAAAGCTCTGGTAGGCCTTGGTGTTACGGGAACTGCGAAGACTAGGGCCAGAGGTTCATTATGATCATTAAAGCTGCAGAGAAAGCAACCTGGTGGCTTTGGATAAAGAGGGCAAGTCCATGGATTGCTGCTGCTGGGATGCAATCCGGGACTTGATCAACCCTGTATGGGTCACCTGGGTGAGGGGGTCTACTGTTTAAAGACCCGAAACCCCCAATGACCTCAGGAACATCACTGATGATGCATCCCATCGCATCCAAGAGATGTATCTTGCAAACTATCAAACTTGTTTGAAGTTATGCTGAAAATACGTTGCACCTCCACATTGGTGCTATTGAGAGGAAAAAACATCAGATGCCAGGCAGTCTTTACACCAGCCCTTCAGGATTACAGCTTGCAAAAAGGATATTTTCTTGTCATTTAGGGCCTTTCATTCAGGTGAAGCAGGAGCATTGTGTTGCTATAAATAATGTGTTTTAGCTGTTTTTTTAACAGGTTGTGGCTGTGGCAGCTCGTAAATTGGAGGATGCTCAGGAATTTGCCAAAAAGCACAGCATCCCAAAGGTATATGGCAGCTATGAGGAGCTGGCCAGAGATCCAGATGTAGGTGAGATTTTGTTGATTTGTTGATGCATCTTTGGATTTGTCAGTTAAATTACGTTAAGCATCAAATTAAACATATTTTCTCACTCAAATGGTCAGGGATAAACTTTACAACAAAAGACAGCTGTCACAAATCTCCAGTTCAAACTACAAGTATTTTTCCTGTGTATGTTTTACTGCGACTATAATTTTGACTTACAGAAAATTCTGTTTTTGATTTGTTTTTGTGTGAGCCCAGATGTGGTGTACATTGGAGTTATCCACCCCTGTCATCTGAAGACATGTCTTCTCTATACAAACGCCAAGAAAAACGTCTTATGTGAGAAGCCACTGGCCATGAACACAAAGGAGGTGAAGGAGATCCTGGCCTCTGCCAAACTCAATGATGTCTTCTTCATGGAAGTATGGCCATAGAAGAAAAAAAGAAAATAACTTTTTTAATACAGCCCAACTTTCTCCTTCACTCACTTTAATTACGTTTGCTTTCTGAAATGACTCCATGTCTGTGTGCTAGGCTGTCTGGACCCGATTCTTCCCGGCCTCAGTGGAGATAAGACGGCTACTGGCACCAGGGGTCCAGGCCATGGGGGTGTGCCTGGAGACTGGTAATGTAAAAGTGACCAGTATGGTCTCATGGATATGATAAGTGATACTTTGTCATTTGAAGATGGAGAATAATGAGTAACACGTATTCGTGATTAAAGTTTACAAGAATAATATCTAAACACAGGTAGAAAAAACACAGTGGCAGAATTTTAAACTGTGTTTGTGCCTACCTATATGTTTACAGACAAGATGTTTATTGTCTTCTTCTTTGCCACTGTGATTCCTTCTGTATGTGAAATAAGAATTTTTAACCAAGGGAGTGTCCCCTGTCCTGATAAGACTTCACCTCTTATCTCTGTATTTTCATTTTGGCACTGTAAACGTTAAGGTTTGATAGTTCAGACACCTCATGTTGTCCTCCATTTATACAGTACACCTCTTAAAAAATACAGTGGAATGACCTGACTCAACATTTTCTTTTGCTGAAGACATTCATGTGCCACTACAAGAATCCCTAACGTCGCACCTTTTAAGGCATGTGACAGAGTTCATGTTTTAGTATTATAGTTTTTATCTTTAATAGTTTAAATGTGAATTGAAATGTGTATATTATATATTGCAGGAATGAGACTGTTATTGTTACACTGAAGTTCTCCAGGAACAGGATGGCAGTGTTTATTTGTTCTTCTGGTTGGAAGCTGGTCAATGATGCCGTTAATGTGGGCACAAAGGGCATCATCAAAGGGCGTAGTGCTGAGTTTATTTGAGTTTGTTTTCCTGAAAGGCAGGAAGGCGGTTAGTGTCCAGTCTGTCTTAGAGGTAGATTACGTAAAAATATAATAAATATATATAAAGTACTTGGTTATTGAAAAAAAAAAAAAAAAAAAAAGTACTTCAGTGAGACAACTTGATGTCTTTATTTATTTATTTTTTTACGAAGAGTAATTGCTCCATACCTGACACGTTGAGGTTTAGGCTACGCCCCTTAAGAGATATCTCCCATGCAGACTCTCTGCTGCTGGCTGAGGTAGAGGACGAGATCCGCCGGCAGGTGGGGGTGACTTACAGCCAGGACTGCCAGTAGATGAATATTAAGATGAAAGAAAAATCATCAATAGTCTCAACAAAGTGAGGGAATGTTGTGAGCACAAAGGCAGTATATGTTTGAGACTTTCTTTATTTGACTTAAGTGCTTCCATGTTGTAAACATGGAAAGACACTAAAACAATTAAACCTTTCAATCATTAATAAAAAATTGTATAACATTTGTTTTCCTTCATTTGATTCTTGAATTTAAATGCACACTACTGACGTTACATCCAAAGTGACTGCAGTACCGCACAGACACTGTGAATCATGGTTATTCATTTTCACACAAAACATTTGAGGCTGAGGAAAGGTTGGTGCTTATCTCTTTTATTGATGGAAATCCAGTCTTTTAGGACAGCTCAGTACACCAGCTATACATTATATTTCCCCTTTACATAAAGTTAGTTCTCACACTCTAGTGTTACAATCCAGAGCATATTAGACACATGAAGACAGCTACAGTGGAGGGGGGCCGCCCCTAACCCACTGGGGCTGAGAGGGACACAGCTATGTCCCTTCCTCAGGTCCCTTGAGAGAAAAAAAATCCAAAAGTGCTCTTTCACATCAGTCAATGTTAGTGAACCATACCTTATTCAAATAAGCGCTAACTAAGATATGATCCAAATGCCGATAAACAAAGACTCTCACACATTTAATAACACAAACACAGTAACTAGCTCAAACAGCTCTTAAGTGGACATCCAAAACTAACATTTCTCTAAGGTCAGACAAAATATAAGTAGAATTGGATGTCCCGAGACAAAAATTTACCATTCAAAAAAATCAAGTATAATATTGAATGTAACATTGTCTGGAGTAGATAAGGAGTGCAACATTTAAAGGTAGACATTAACACAGTGACAGCTGGCTTTAAGAGTGGACACTTCATACAGGCAGCACTACACAAGGGTCTGTTTAGGTGGAGAGGTGGAGCAAAGGCTTCCCTGTAGGATCATTCCTTTTGATTTAGGATGCAACCAGTTTGTTCATTATACCCGCAGGAGTGTGATCAGTAAGTCAAGTGTTACAGTAATAAAGGTGCTCTGTGGAGATCAGCCTGCTCCACCACTAACCCAACCTAAACAAGCCAGTAAGCACATGCACACAGACCAGGATGTATTCACTTTCAGACTGGTTAACTTTTAACTATGTGAGTGAGTGAATAAATACAGCAGTTTTCTGGTCAGCGTGTATTCATCTGAGGCCCCGCAGACTGGTTTGATTGAGAGTACCCATGCGAAAGGAATAGACATAAATTGGAATCGTACTAAACAAGCCTCCACTCTTGGCTAAAACAGCTCTCTGGCCATGAAGGCTATAATCTATTTGTTTTTTTTATTCTTTGCATTATTGGCTAAATGCTAAATTCTGCAGCGATTGAGTCTATGAGTCCCAAGTCTTAGATTGAAAGGACTGTGAGCTGGTATGGAGCGTAGGGGTGGAGCAATATGAAATAAAGATGACCATAAAGCGAAGAAGCAGAGCAGCTGTGCTGGCTGTTCAGGCCACCAGAACCACACGCATGGTGTTGGTGTAACCGGAGCCTGGACGCCAGCCAGTCAGGACAATGACAACATCTCCCTCTTTGAAGAAGCCCCTGGCTTTGCCTGAAAATTAAAAAGATGAATTAACAAATTATGCTTTTTTTTTTAAACACCAAAATGTATCACTCTTTAACACTGTTTCTCTTCGTGCTCGAACAGTTACTTTAATTTTGTTCAAGTATAAAAAGTTGTTCTTGTGCAATGTTGATTAGTTACACAACATAATTAAAACCTGGCATATGTACTCACCCATATCCATAGCAAAGTTCACACGCATGTCGACGTCCTCAGCCCACACATCGTGAGAAGGCTTGGTGTAGAGGACAGGGAAGATGCCGCGGTACAGGTGGGCCTGGCGAGCTGTCTGAGCATTACGGGTGACGGCGATAATGGGTGCACGGGGCCTGTACCTGGAGAGCAGGTGGGCAGATCTGCACAGACACACACCTATAAGATTCCATGGCCAAATTATGATGACAGCTATCTACAGTATACGCTATACTGTCCTTTTACTTCAACTGTCCACCAAAAAGAGTTTTTAACAGTCAGTGTTGAATTAATTACAGAATGAGCGAGGATAATTTAGATACATACAAATGCAATTTGAATCATTATTTTCTTTAAACCTACATTATCTAGCATTTTTCACACTGCATAAACTGTTAATATTAATACTTAACAGGCCAAATTAAACATTAGTCAGATGCAAATTCAGTCTTTAAAAAGCAATTCAGTGCAATTAAAAAACCCTGTAGCCATGTGTTTTTGAATGAACAGGAAAATGTGGGAGGCTGATCAGATTCTGCCCATACAGCCGTGAGAGGTCTAATCATTAAAAAATAATGAACAGTCAGAATGTGTGAGAGAAGGGTTAAGTTGCTCAATCCAAATGTCCATACACTCAGATTACAGCAGGCTCAACCCCCGATTTATGACATAGTGGCATATAGCCGCAAGCACTGCTGTGTGTGTACAACTTAAGTTTCCAAAATGTTTATTGATGTGATGTGGAATATGGTCGGTAGCTCTTTCTTCTAATCTGATGTTATTAAGTCTTTGAGGGATGTACATTTGGATCGGCTTTAGGCAACCCAATTTTTCTTAATCTGTTGCAATCTCCCTCACCCTGTGTAGCAGCAGTCAGACACAAACACACAATAAAAAGGGGAGGGAATCTGTTGGAGCAAATTTGGTTTTGGAGGTAGAATCCCGATCCATGTCAGTCAGGTGGTTGTTAATTCTGCAACTACCTTACCTTGAAGGCATTTTCACCTCTATCCTTCTCTTTCTTACCTCCCAGTCTTGGTGAGAACAATGAAGGCACTAGCACAACATTTGAACGAGGACTCGACAGCTCCGACGGCTACCGCCTCCGAAGGGTCTGTGGTCAGTTGGGAGTGTCTCCTCAGCCCCTCAAACAGCTGTCTGTGGAAGGTGGCTGCCTCAGCCTCTCGTGCTATCTGAGCACAGAGGGACCACGAGGGAAGGGTGGGAGGATGAGGAGGGGTTACCACTACCACAGTCACTCACACCGCTGGGAGTGACTGGCAAATGTTTAACTAGACTCCTGGTTGACAGGAAGGTGTTGGTTTAATGATAGGCACTAAAGTATGATTGATGAGATGAGATTCAACTTTATTGTCGTTACACATCAGTATAGAGTCACGAAATGAGGTTTGGCATCTCACCAGAAGTGCAATAAGCAGAAAGTGAGATGTGATTGATGTGCTTTAGCCTCTTTCAATTAGCTTGTGGGTAAAGGTCAACTCACATTTGAAAAAAAAAAACAACCAGCAGTCTACTTAATGCGTTTGCCAGGTTCTCCCAGTCATTACTGCAGTCAGTCCCTGTCTAGCCCTACTCTCCCTCTCCTGAACTTCCGATATCAATGTCCTTCTTGAACTGCCAGGACAAGATTAGCTCCCTACCTTCCAGAGCCAGTGAGCACAATGATCCCAGAGGCTAAGCTCTTAAAGGAGGCCTCAACAGCGCCAATTGCAATAGCCTCAGCGGGGTCTTTGCAGTACGGCGTGGAGCGGCGCAGGTCCTCAAACACCTGCCGGTGGAACATGGCCGCCTCAGCTTCGCGAGCAATCTGGCACAAGTGAGGGCAAGATGCATCAAACACAGGCATTCCCACACCAGGCACACCCAGATGGAACATGAGAAAAGTGGGTGGAGAATGGACAGGAATGTGGCAAATAGAAGGACAATGTTGAAGACACAAGAAGAAATAAAAGTAAAAAAGAAAAGAAGAAAGAAAAAGACAGGGGGGGGGGGGGGCAGTGGACAGAGGAGTTTGGATGTGCAGTTAGTGTGGGGGTATCATCAACATTTTAAGATATCCATATTTTACAACAACCATAAGCATGAGAATATAACATGCAAAATAGTAGACCACGACCCATGCTAATCCAGAGTCAAGGTTACTGTTATGCTGAAATAAACCTTAAAATAACGATACTATTTAACATCAACCTTGAAAAATATCACAAATGATTAAAGATCCAAATGAAAGAGCCAATGTTTTGTTTAGAACTTAAAAATAAAGATAAGGAGGATAGGACAGGACTAAAGTCATCTTGAAATTAAAAAAGAAGCCAAATCTCTGCACACATGCAAATACAGCCAGGAAGAAAGAACAAGAAAAGTCAGATTAAGGTGTAAAGATAATGTTTGAGTTAGTCTGTGAATGCTTCTCAACACACATGGTTTGAGCTCAAGGAAAGTTGCAGTAAACTCCAGGTTGTGAAGCTCACTATGCAACTTGAGTGTAAGGACAATAAGCTCAATAGCAGCAGCTGCTGAGTCACTGCTGAGTCACGTCAGCACCTGCATAGCAGTGCACAGTGTTGCTGAGAGCAGTGCAAGTTAGCAAACAAAAGCTTGAACGGAAAGACAGGAAGGGAGGGCAGCATGAACTGCTTAATCCATCTATGATTGATAATAATTGCTTTTTTGATGCAAGATTAGATTAAGATCTAATTACTACTAGATCTTAATCTTGTGAATTTAAACTGCAAAAAAAGGTCTTTAAACTGTTTCTTTCCCTGACTGACAAAACATACAATGAAGTGAAGAAGACACAAACAGATATTTCAGATAGAATTTTAAACATTTTTGTCATCCATCATCAGCTTAGTCAATTATCAACAATTGCTGAATCATTCAAAATGTGCATTATACAGAAAAGCACTCCCCCATCCTTTTTTTTTTTTACAATTAAGGCACTAATTGTTCCTGCTCATCAAGTCTTTAAACATCTACGTGTTCGGGGTTGACTTAAATATTCACTGTAAAGTCTTGAAAAAGTACATCAAGGCTTTTGAGATAAGGAAGAAAGGCAGGACAGCGAGTCTTTGCTGGAGGAGGACATTTATCCGGCTTAGTTTTCTGAGACCACTCTGTCCAAAAATGTCATTTATGTAAATGATCATCGTTTCTGTGCCTCTATTTTGTGCACATCCAAGGTCACAATATCCCTGTTTGAAAGTTATACACGGGTTCAGCCAGTTAACACACAAGCCTCGTTGGAACTTTATCACAGGGATGCACAAAGAAGATTGTCATTAGTGACGTCTCTAGCTTGTTGAGGTTTGAGTTGTAAATGATGAAGGGTTTATTGAATAGCA